CCACCTCCTTTTCCCAGTCTCCCCGAGTTTTATTCAATAAAGAGACTTTCTATTTTTGAACACACATTTTCTTTATTTTGTACATCAGGAAAGGAGGCTAGGGAGGGATAAGTGGAAGGAGGTGAGGGAGGAATGGGGTACGAGCCCCCGATGGGGAGGACTGGGGTGGTTCTGCAGGCTCCTCGGGATGGAAGCTCTCCTGCAGCCCCCCGATTGACCCCCTCCGGATGGCAGCCTGCGGCAAGTGCAGCCGGGCTGATGGCCGAGTGCTGTGATGTGCCGAGTGTGGGCACTCAGGGCACTCCAAGCCAGGACTGCTTTGCAAGCGGGGAAGCCCTGAGAACTGTCTGTCTGGGGTGGGGGTCAGGTCCCTTTAAGCACAGCCCTCGGCTAGCCTGAGACAGCAGCTCCACACTCTAAGTCCTAATCCCTGTCGGCACTGCTGCTTCCGGCCATCCTTAACCTCAGTTCAGTGTCCACTCAATGTGGACATGCTAGTTCGAATTAGCAAAACGCTAATTCGAACTAGTTTTTAAGTCTAGATGCGCTAATTCGAATTAGCTTAGTTTGAATTAACTAATTCGAACTAAGTTAGTTAGAATTAGTGCTGTAGTGTAGACATACCCACTCTGTCCATCCATCTGTGAGTCTGTTTGTTCAAAAACTCCTAACGGTAAGAGCCAGGCTCACCAAATTTGCTATGTGGTTTCCTCTTATCATAACTTAAAACAAGATAAGAGTCTGGTTGTACCAGGACAATGGAATGTGCTTGGAAAACATTTTTTCTCATGAAATGGAAAGGGAGGGGTCTGGCAGGAGGGACAGTTGTACTGTTGAATGATCACGGGGGGTAGCAAGGGGCCAGAGGTGGAGACTAAGGCTACGTCTAAACTGCAGTGTTAAATTGGAAAAAGATTTGCAATTTGCGGTAGGTAAATTGCGTATCTTTTTCCAATTTACTTTCGAAAGAGGCTTTTCTGAAATTTGGCGCATATAGATGCACCAAATTTCAGAAAAAAGTGCTCTTTCAACACATCCCTTATGCCTCGTAGAACAAGGTTGACAGGGATGGCAAAATAGCGTGTTTGCTTTTTTGAAAAAAAAAAATCAGAAAAGCGGACACATTCCTTGGATGCCTGCAGTATCCCAGAAAAGCAATGCAGTCTAGACGTAGCCTAAGACAGCTATAACCCCATTGGGCCAGCAGGCGGCAGGCATGGAAAAAGGGACAGCTTTCTACTATATATTTCAGAGAGTTTCTGTTTGTTTTATGTTTCTGTTTGTCTTTTCACCCAGCCTGGGGACATGCACCCCTCTGCCAGCCTTGTCCTCTGAATCTATAGTAGGTAGGGAGAAGTGCTTCTCCCCAGCACCAACCCAGAGCAATGATTTACATAAAGAAAAACAAACCTTATTTAAATTAATGATCAGAGCAACGCTGGGTAAATCTTCTAGCTCTGTATAATCATTTCTAATATAATTCAACACATGAACATCCACAGTGGGTCAGACTATTGTCCCATCTAGCTCAGTATCCTCTCTTCTGACAGTGGCCAATGCCAGGTGCTTCAAAGGGAATGAACAGAACAGAGAATCATCAGTGTTCCAGCCTCTATTATCCATTCCCGGCTTTTGGTAAACAGAGGCTAAGGACACATCAGAGCATGGTTTTGCATCCCTATCTCTACTGGCTAAGAGCTTACCAAGTCCTTTTTTGAACCCTGTTTAGTCTTGGCCTTCACAACATCTTCTGGCAAGGAGTTCCATGGGTTGTGCATGTGAAGAAATATTTCCTTTTGTTGTTCCATTAATTTCATTTGGGGTGTGTGACGGGCCAGCGGCGGCCCGCACTAGAACGGGGCGGGCAGCGGCCCCAGCCCCGGCAGAAAGCCCGGGAGGGGCTGCCGGGAAGGCGGAAGAAGCCCCGGGGTGGCCTGCGGGGAAGACGCGCCTGCCGAACGCCGCAGGGAGCAGAGTCCCGCGGCTCTGGGGAATAGGGCCGGGCGGGAAGTGCGCAGCCCCGGTGGAATATGCCGAGGCATGACTCCGCCCCCTGCGTCCCGACGTGGGGACGTCAGTGACGGCGGGGGCGGGGGCGGGAGATCC